TGGTTGTAGAGGTGGTTATGTGGTTTAGGACATTCTAGTGTTCACTCCGATGAATGCAGTCAATCGTCTAATGGGTGTTGGTGACTTCTCTCGCATGAGGAGGAGGTGTGTCCTAGGCACTACTCGTCTGTAACGGGATGGACGAAGTGCTAGTATCTTCTGCAACTACTCTTCCGGTGTTTCAGAGTTTCCTCGATCTAGATTAAATCTAGAGAGTACAGGGTTCCGCCACTCGGAACTTCTAATTTCCTCATCCACTCTTCTCAGAGTTTAACCTGTCATAACTTTCAGGTTTTCTAGGATCTCTGCTAAGATGCTTAACTTGTGGGGTTTACGCATGAATGGATGGTCGCAGTCAATGTTTGACTCTTATGACTCGAGTTACTTTTCCTAGCCGAGGGTGTTAGCTACTATGTTGGCTCAACCGGGATGATGACAAATTTCCCATTTGTGGTCATTTTAGTAGCTTGACCCGCAGTGGTTCTCTTTACTCAAGCTCCTTTTCTATGGGATAGGATGAAGGGTCTTATTATAAGGTCCATGGTAATCCTCATATTCGGCTTAATCACTAATACTCGATGTATGCAAGTCGTATATAACTGAGATCGACGGGATGTTCAATTATGTGGCCCCACCCCAGACCCACAATCCAACGAGGAACAGGGAGTAGCGAGGAAGCACACATCTTAAATCTTATTGATCTAAATTATATACCACTCTAATGCATATATTCAGTGGTAATAAGTTAATTCCATGAGTTCCTTCTCTTGATTCACCAACCTGATAGTGAGGTGCTAAAGGTCTTTCTGGGGGATCTACTGAGTGGGCCTCGGGCGGTTATTGTCTTCTGGGATGCTTGCAGTGCCTTTCGCTTCGGGTTCTATCTGTCTAAGGAGGGGTTGGTTAAAAACGTGCGATACCCTTCTCCTGGGTATTTCGGAAAGTTTTAGATAAGAGAGACGACCGACGGATTGCGTTAGGTTTTATTATTAAGTTCGGAAGAACCTTTATTTAACGAACTGACTATGGTGAAAGTTTTCTTTACACAGCACTAGGAATTTACACCTGGTTGCACTAAGTCAAATCATGATTGATGAATGTGTCGAAGTTGACATACATCGACATGATATGGAATGAAGGTCGATAGGACCGTGTGCTGAACGGGCACACAAGTTCTTGGCGTCTCGGGTTTCGTCCATGGTATCACTGTCGCGGATACTTGGACTGATAGAATCGATGCGAAACTCTAGGGGGGTCCCGATGTTTTGGAATAATGTACTTTTCATGAATGGATTTTCTACGAGGCCTCTCTATAATCGCCTAGTATACACCAGTCATGTATAATTAAGGTGGAAAGGACTGTTGATTGAGGGACTCCGCCCTAAATCCACAACCCAACGAGGAACAGAAAATAAGGCAACATCACTCACTCGAGGTCTATCAATCTTAATTATACATGACCTTAACGTATATATCAAGCCATTATAGCTTTACCTGATGGATTTTTGAATTTTACAATAGTGTTGCGACTTTCGCCTTAACGAGAGAGTAATTACAATTAGAATTAATCATTTAATGTTTTTGGTTAATTATTTAGGATTGAGAGACGTACCAACATTCTACTAGGTTCCTTGACGCTTCTCCCTAGGCATTAGGGTTAGACTCCCCCTGCGCCCTTGTCGTTTCTTTCAGTTGGGCAGTCCCGTTTGGAGTGCCCAATCTCATCACATAGATGGCATACTGGACTGTAACATCCGGACTTTTGCCAGGTATCATGTAAATTGAATTTTGTTAAATTGTGAGGGGGACTCGGCGAGTTGGAGCTCAGACTCGCCGAGTAGAGACGCGGATTGGACGATGGATCGCGCCTGGACTCGGCGAGTCCAGGATATGGACTCGGCGAGTCTGCGCTGTGTAGTGAAACCCTAAATTTCCGGGTTTGAGACCTATTTAAAGGGCCTTATGGCCGTCATTTGTGCTCACCCAACCCTTAGAGAGAAACCCTTGAGTGCTTGGACGATTTGAGAGAGAGAGGAGCATTTCTTGACCTTGTGTGTGTGCCATTTAGCAAGAAGGAGGTGATCCTAGGCAAGAGGAAGCAAAGGAGGTTGCTATTTCGTGGATTTGGAGCCTAGATCATCAATCTAGAGGTATGATTTCGGTTTATATTCTGTTTGGTGAAGCATTATGCGATTTAGGGCTTATTATGGTCATTTATGGGATGATTTGATGCCCAATAGTTCCCTCCTTGTGCTGAGGTTTTGGATCTGGATCCATAGAGGTCCAGAGAGCCTCACTCATCAAGCTTTTTGTATGGCAATGGATTTTATGACCTTGTGTTGTAGTATTTGAGTCAAAAACATCATATATGGTCATATAGAGGTTGTATGTGCATCAAGATTGTAACTTTACGTGCTAAATGAGCTTGGAAGGAATGGATCTATGGGTTAATTGACTGGATCTGACCTTATGAGCAAGTTTGAGTCATTGCATGGCACGGACTCGCCGAGTCTGAAGAACAGACTCGGCGAGTAGCATGAATGTTGCCCGACCACACAGTGAGTGGTCTTGCCGAGTTGGTGAGGGTGGACTCAGTGAGTCAGGGGAGAGTCAGAGTGGACAGGTGGACTGAGTCAAACTGGACTCGCCGAGTTGTTCTTGAGACTCGGCGAGTTGAGTCGTGGTGGCCCCACAACTCATGCCAGGTGGAACTCATCGAGTTGGGTGAATGCTCGACGTGTCAAGGGAGGATTCCAGGGAAATTGGTGTATACGCTCAGACTCGCCGAGTCGCTATAGCGCACTCGCCGAGTCCGGTCAAAGTTGACCGTTGACCAGCGTTGACCTAAGTTGACTTGTTATAGTATGGTCAACCCTAGTTGGGAAAGTGTTAATTAGAGATGTATTGTGCTATAGGAGGACTATAGCTCGGCAGATCGAGTGATTAGCGATTTCAGATTTACGACTTACCGAGATACACGAGGTGAGTCTTCTCATTATACTTTACCTTGAGTAGGTAACCAGAGTTATGTGATAGAGTATTTGTATGCTATGTATGTTATGTGTTGTACTGCATTATTTCTATGTGATTTATGTTGTGCATGTTTACAGAGTTAGAACCTGAGGGTTCACAGAGTTTGGGTGCACGGACCCACAGAGTTATAGCCTCGAGTGGCTAATATGTGTTATATGTGGTATTTTGGGGAACTCACTAAGCCTTGTGCTTACAGTGTTTGATGTTATTGTTTCAGGTACTAGTGACGATCGCGGGAAGGCGCCGGCTTGATCCGTACACACACACGCTCGGAGTTTGATATTATGATCTTGGGATTTTGTATTGTCTTGTTTGGGATAATTAAAATGGTTGTTTTTATGAATATCGATGGAATTATGTTTTATAAAAATTGAAAATTTTGTTTTGAAATTTACGGTGTTACATGGACTGGTCGCCACATTGGTGGTTGATGTGATGAACTCAACCGGGGCTCTGCAGGTACGAGAGGTATGCCCCCTTCATATTACACTGAACGTAAAGGAGTTCTCGACAGATACCAAGATGATGGTAGCTACACTTGCTGCAACGGGGAAGGTTTCCTAAGTATGGTCTTCTTGAAGTCGGGATGGAAGGGTTGACAGGGGTATTGACTACCTCAGCTCGTTGCCATTTGGAAGGTCCTTGAGTCAAGGTACTTCCCTCTTCGCTCTTGAACTTTCTTTTAAGTGGATCTGGTTGAGGTTCTTGGGTGGCTGGATACGCAGGTGTTGGTTGCTGTTGTCTATTGCTTTGATCGGCAATCCCGATAGGGCTCCTGCTAACATTGGCGTTGCTAGCGTTCAGGTGAGCCATGACAGCTGCTACGGCTGCTAAAGCTGCAACTTGAAACGTAGCTTCATCGAATAAGAGAGTCGGTGCTTTGCCAGCGGGCTGGTTACGCTTCTTTGGAGGCATGGTTTTCCTACACGAAAAAGGAACACAAGCTGATGGGAGACGATGATTAACTCTAGGCGTATCTATCCTTACTATAATATGCATAATTTTTTCCCACGCCTTGGATATTGGTTATCTGAGTGTCGACCTACATCCCTATGATGCAGTCCGGGTATCAAGGTAGGATTAAGAGTATCAGAAAGCCATAAGATGGGAGTCGTTCCTACTAAGTTATCCTTATACTGGAGAGATTCGATCTCCGGTTTTGGAAAGATTTAAGGACAGTTCGGAACGAAGATCACGGAATAAAAGGCTCATGAAGACTTATGGCTAGACACTCTTAATAGAGGTTTTGGGATCCGATCTAATCGTATTACTTGCGACGGGGAAAGGCGATTTGCCTAGCACATAGTGTGAGTAGTGTAATCACTAACTCACTAAATTCACTACTAGAAAAACACCCTTTTACGACGCTCATTGCGCGTCGTAAAAGGCTCAGACGACGCGCAAATGCGCGTCAAGGAAGGCCCTGTCATAAAGAGAGACGACGCGCATTTACGATGCTCATTTACGACGCATAATTACGACGCACGTTTACGACACGCAATGCGTATCAAGGAAGGCCATATCATAAAGGAAGACGACACGCATTCGCGTGTCGTAACCTTACGACGCACGTGTTAATGACACGCAATGCGTATCAAGAAAGCCCCTGTCAAGAAAGGCCATGTCATAAATGAAGATGACACACATTTTTGCGTATCATAATTTTAAATATATAGAAAATATATTATTTATAGATTTACTAATTTTCAAATTAAATAATACATTAAAAATCTCATAATACAAAATAAAATACCATAAATAACAAAGATAATTCATTTCACTAATATGTCAAATACAAATAATTATTCCAAAAGTGAGTAAATGGTATAAAAAATGAACTCATTTATATACAATTGCATCATCTAGCTTACTATGTGCCAACAACTCTCTGTGTGTTTACTTTTGCTTGAGTCTCGTTTCCTCCAAAGCTTCTAACCATGCCAAAATATGATATCTTGAGTCTTGTTTCAAGAACCAAAATCACCTTCAATCACCCAATTAAACTCTAATGTTGGTAGACTGAGAGTTCCAGAATCAAGTTTACATCCATCACCTTCAATTACCCAATTAAACTCTCGATCTTCTGTTGTTTGAAAGAAATTGGTGTTTGTAATCTATGAACAAAAAACGCAAAGACCAAGGTTAACATTTGCTATATAGAAAGCACAACTGGACATATGAATTTATAATACGCAACATAAACATTTTCATGAAAATGATCGATATAGACAAATAAGTAAGAGTGATGATATTGATACCTTAATTACACCATTGGTGAACGAAATTTTAATTGGTTGATAGCAATACTTGACCTCTGAAAACAAATAAACAAAGGATCGCATCATAATTAGCTCAATGAAGTAATTCTTATACATTGTCTCTACCAAAAGATTCATCATGGAAACATTTTTGTTGGAAATAACTAAACGAAAACCTAAATACTAAGAAAAAAAATTATAGTTATCACCATTTAGAGCAGGATGAGGAGTCCGATCAAGCCATATGAGACCATTTAAGCAGAAATTTAAGTCATTTGGTGTATCTCCAGAAGAGACTATTAACCGACATCCATTTATTTATTTAAAAAATATTAATAACTTACTGCTTTATATGCTCCAGAAGAGACTATTAATCGACATCCATCAATCTCCATTGTTCTCTGGCATAGCATTGGAAGCAAGAACCAAACTGAATAAAAGGAGCTATAAACAAAAATTATGACATTTATTTTCTAAACTTAGTAATAAATGAGAAATAAAAAGAGCCAAACCTTTGTTCATCTTCACCTTCAACTAAAACCATATAACCTAACTTAGTAATAAATGAGAAATAAAATGGATGAATATGAAAATTGTTTGTTGGAATGTAAGGTAATATGATCATTTAGTTTCACTTTGAAGGTTTATTCAGTCCAGCAAAAAAAGGACTTTATATATGCAGCACTTTATCCAGATATGCAACATTAAGTCACTGTACACATACATAACTTACTGGGGAAAAAAATAAACAACCCTTAAGTGATTTTAATTTTTACCAGGCGGTAATTGCTCCTTCAATGTTTCCATTGTGTTCTCTAAATCTAGCAACAAAAAGATGAATCTCTGGTTGCTTCTGTAAATAAATAAATAAATAAATAAATAAACAAAATCAACTTTTACTAAAAGAAGTTTACAGAACACATGCCAACAGAAATTGAGATTGCATATAACTTACTTTAACAAACTCATGGGTAGCACGAGCAAGGTCATTTTCGGCAACATCCATATTTTTTCTAGCTTCCATGCACAAAACATAACATATCTAATACTCGTGATAATTTGCACAAGCAATCAGACATCTTTCATATAGTTTGATTACTTTGTTCAAGTCATCACATCCTTCAATGAAATCAAGGTAGTTATGCCAGTTTTCAAGCTCTGTAACATTAAGTGGCCTGAAATGATAATAATGTCTCCTGATGGCTGTTTCAAAATCTATGATTTTAGAATCGAAATCCTTAGTTTTTTTTATAAAGTTCTTCTCTAAGGGAAATATAGGTCTCCAACTCTTTAGCTTCCGCTAATCCATCATTCGGATGGATCTCACCCTCACTTTCTTGATTCTTGAATTCCCCTTTTGCCCTTGCTGCAGCTTCAAGTTCTTCAGCTGTTCTCAGTTCTGATAAAGGGTGACTAGCAGCTAATTCCCTAAAGCTGTTAAAAGTATTAAAAAAAAGTAGAATGAAAATATGTGGCTTGAGTAATTAAAGAAAGATTGTGTTGAAAAAACATATATCAATCATCACCTGTTGAAATACCGATCCAACTGCTGATTAGGAATCTCCAATATACGTGTGTAAATCATGGCAAGATTCGACCATTTCTGTAGTTGATACTCATATTCAATGTATTTATCCCACAAAGAAAATGAAAGATAAATAGTTCCAACATAGACTAGACCCCGTTCAAATAGCCTTAAAAAATATCATAAATAAAATATTTAGTAATATTAACCATAGATTATGGACTACAATAATAGCTATAATGTCCCTGTATGCAAAATAGCTCCATTAAATGAGCATGACATTTTCCAAATGTACACACAAAACACTGAATTTACCTTCCCCCAATAAAAATCATATAATGTCTGAGAAAGGTACTAAAAACAGTCTAAAAATAATCATTTGTTCCAACAAAACAATCTTAAAAAAAAAACATGAAAATAAGAGTGTAATAATAATATACATCTTCTTCATAAAAAAAAATCCAAGTTGTTGTGTATGCATGATATTTGAGGTATATAGTTTACCATTTTTACCTTTTACCTTTTCCATATTTCATATTTCATCAAAATATTAAATTCAATGGAGTGATTTGAGATGGAAATTTTGACACGTTGACTGGTATGCCTTTTTGGCTGCAGCCAATTCGAATTTTTTAGTAGCAACTTCATTTTCTTCTAATTTGTCTGAACAAAAAACCGAATCCACCACGAAGAGCTTCGCAATTTCGCCTATTATAAATATATATAAATTCATTTTTTATTATTCAATGTTTCTTTAAATTTTAAATTTGAAGTAATTGGGATCAAGTAATATAAGAGAGGACTTACAGGGCGACCAAATTTGGACATTTCAGCCACTTTAACTTTACGTTGACCAGGATACCCTTTATCAAAATAAAATCAACATTATTTTTATAAAATATAAGTGAATAATTGCTAAAAAAAAGAAAAAAAAAACACACCAGAGAGAATAACAAATCCATCTGAAGATAGTCTTGATAATTATGGAAGAGTTTTGTTGAGGTACCTTGGTGAAAAATAGTCAAGAGCATCCGAAACAATAACAAGAGAAAATGATTATGATTTATAAGGAAGAGGATACTTAATATCAGCAACACAAACAATCCATTTTCTTGTAAGGCTTTTGCAGTTTGCATCACTTTCATCTAAATCATAACGTTCAAGACCCCATGCTTCTGTATCTTCATCTTTCAATAATTTGAAATCACTGAACATGAATCGGGACCCATGTGTAGAACTTTATGCATGCTGTCAGCATATGCTTTTTTTAGATATGGTAATGCTTGATTAATCTCTGCTGAACATGAAACACCACCTGCATATTCAACATATCAGAAAATTTATAATCATTCAGTAGATAACTGATTGTTATTATTATCTTAAATGGTTTACCTTCAAGCCTACTTAGAGCCACTTTATCAATATTTCTTCCACCTATTGTTACAAAGATAATTTTGATATAAGTTGAGATAGGAGAAGATAGAATTTTTTTAGCCAAAAGAAATTCATATGTACTAACCTGAACCACTATAAACATAGCCAATTATGAGAAAAGCTCCCTGAATGTGTTGAGAGAAGGGAAAGTCTCACTCAGTATTTTTTTTTAAGAAGAGAAGAAGAGTATCAAAGGTATGAATCATGAGTAACAGATGTTACAGTAGATGCAAAAGCTTTAAGAGGTGTGATTACCACAAGAACAAGGCCAATGGATAAGAAAGGGGAAGGGCGTGATTTTGGATTTAAGGATCCCCTAAAGGGAATGCCAGTTCCATCACCCAAACACCTTGATAAACTAGCTGGCCTCCTTGACATCTCTATATGTTGTGATTCACCTGCAGAAAAATGTTTAACTCGTTTTATTATGAATTGAATTGAGTTATCTGAACTGAAACATTGGTAACTTTGAAAGATCAATCGATCCAATATTAGTGACAAATGGGGTGTTCCACAATTTAATTCAATAGCTGAGATTTTAGTATCCTAAATGGCTAAATCAATCCGTTAATTTTAATTGTTCTGAAGCTGATGAACATTTCACTAATTTAAACTAACATAGTCGTTTCCAAAACATGCTGATGGATAGTTTTACTTGGGATAATTATGCAGTTAAAATAAGCAAGACTCAAAATCCTCTTTGAAGAAAAACGAGAGAACATAAGTGTCCCAAACTAATACATTAAGCGACTTGACCATTTGGTATCAATGTATGACGAAAACCTAACGCGGAATTCTTCAAATCGTTTTTAGCCCAGCAAAACAAGCAATCAACCAATTTTCGTTACCACTCAATACACATAACAAAAAATTCACTAGAATCGATCAATTCAAAAGCATTAATCAACTGTTTTTTGACATAATTCATTGTTCATGCTGCTATATTCCTCGAATTTAACAAGCAGATAATCAACAATTGATTGAACAACTTATCGTAATGCGAGAAACAAACAAACCACAGTGCGTGAGTGATGATTAGATAGAGAAAGAGAAAGAGTGTATGTGTGTATGTGTAACCTTTTTGCTGAGAAGTTGAAGGTTTTTGGTGTAGCTATGAGGTGCGACGGTCTCCATCCGGTGGTGGCTTCACAGGGAGGCGATGGATAATGGCGGTGAGCATGGAGGACTCGTTACTTGAGGAACTAAAGATTGAGAGAAGTAGATGGAGGGTTTATGAACCGAAACCCTAGTTCCAACAATAGTCGTGGTTCCAAGAACTGTACCCCTTTGATTTCAATTTCATGGCCCGGTGACCAAAAAACCTTCGATTTCACTAAGAACCAGAACCCTAGTTCCAACAATAGTCGGTTTTGTGGCCCTATATAGAATTTAGGCATGAGACTCCTTGATTTCTGCCGACTGGGATGGGAGAAAGGAGAAGCACATCGTGGTTCGTTTTTTGGATATTTGACTGAGCAAATTAGAGCGGGGGAAGAGAATAGGTGGAGACATCGGTTGGAGATCAGAGATTTGGTGATGTTGTGATGATGTTGTGGGAGAAAAGAGCAATGACGGTGAGAGAGACATCGTGGCTCTCCGATTGAAGGTTTTTTTTGGTATTTGATTGAGAGAGAGAGAGAGAGAGAGAGAAGAACGATTGAAAGAAGGTAGAGGAGAACATGGCGGCTTTTCAAACTTTTGGAATTTCATTTCCCCCGCGAACTTCTAAAACGCGTGTTTACGAAAAAAAAATATAAAGCGACGTGTGCACAAGACACACATTTTATCATATGCGCCCTCCGTGTTTTTTTTTGGACACTAATTTTAGGGTACGCACAAATGCGTGCCCTCTATTCTTCAAATTTTATAAGAGATGACAATTTTTTTTGGATGCTCGCTTTTGTGTATCGTAAATCACTGCGTGTCATTGTTTGTGCGTCATTAAAGGTTGTTTTTCTAGTAGTGATTGTATTATTTTATGGGTGTATTAGCGCGACGATAACGAGGAAAAGACACTTCTCGGGTTCCATGTATTGGCTCCCTCTGTCTACCTCTTATCCTTGGCTGGGACAGACGTTGGTTTTCTTCGGGTAGTTACCTAGGGTTCTTTTCTCGTGTAAACATATTGAATTTCTACTCCGTCTTCCTTCCGATTCTGACTCTGAGTGTCATCGCTGCCTTACTTCTGATCCTGACCCTGAGCGTCATCGCTTCATGATGAATGACTGGAAATCTCAGAAGTTCAGGCGAATTTCCCACCGATGTCCCTAAAAGGTATAGTGGTGGTTTCAATAGTCTCCTCCTAGTTCATTTATTTCCGAACTGGAAATCTTCTCAATGAACCTCTTCTGGGTCTGAATCAACTCTTGTGTCGAACACTGAGGTGGATAAGGTTCTCTAGAGGGTTTTGTGCGAGAATGGAAATGTTTAAGGAATCCTAAGAGATTATTAAAATATTTCACTCGGTGATCCATATCGAATCCTACTACAATTACATAAGGTACACAAATTATATATAACTTAGATCCGATAGGGCTTCAAATATGTGATACTACTCTATTTATGAAATTTTGTCTTATTTATATATTTGTTTTGGGCGTTTTCACAAAAAAAAAAAAAAAAAACCTCCAAGTTATTACAATTGCTAATGAATCCAAACTTAAATATCTTTAAAAAAAAATCTAAATAAAATATCATAATAATCATAATAAACGAATAAATAAAACATATCTTTGAGTTTATCATTCAAAATAAAGAATGAAACCCACACATTACACAACACCGGATTATGAATTTCTTATCACCAAAACTTTGCTATTTACATTCCCTTAACATAACCAATTAGATTTAGAGGCAACAAATTAAGTCCAACCACCCATCGTCGGAAGTATTTACTATAATCCGGCGACGGCAGTTCCACTTCCACCTAACAATCCTTCAAACGCCCACCATCATCCACCACAATATCAACCACCTCCAGTTTCTGAGCATTCATTTCATCATTCTGAATCCCTCTCAAAACCTCCACCACCTCCTTCATCGTCGGCCTCAAATCCTTCTCCTGTTGCAGACACCGGAAAGCCAACTCCGCCACCAACGTCATCATCCTCCTCACCACCCCATCACTCTCAAACCCAACACTCTTATCCACCAACTCCCCCAACAAATGATTCTGAATCTTCACCACCGCCATATTCGCCAAATTAATATCCAACCGGTGGCGACTCGTATCCACCGCCATTAACGAAGACAAAAGCTCAATCAACACCACCCCGAAGCTATACACGTCGCTTTTGTCGGTCAACTGATAGCACTGATAATACTCCGGGTCAACGTATCCCGGCGTCCCTTGTGGCGCGGTGGAGACATGGGTGGCGTCGTTAGGGAACAACCTCGATAGCCCAAAATCAGCGACTTTGACTTTGAAAGTTTTGTCTAAGAGAATGTTGGTGGTTTTGACATCGCGGTGGATGACGTCGGAATTGTGGAGGTATGCTAGGGCTTCGGCGGTTTCTATGGCGATGTTGAGGCGGAGTGGCCAAGAAATGGGGGCGGAGGTGGAGGTGGAGAGTTTTCCGTGGAGGTGATCGGCGACGGTGCCGTTGGGGATGTATTCGTAAACGAGGAGGAGTTCTTTGCTATGTTTTGATGAGCAGCCGTATAGTTTGACTAGGTTTTCGTGGTTTAATTTTGTTAGGATTTCGACTTCGTTCATGAATTGTTCGACGCGTTTGAAGTTGTTTTCGTATAGACGTTTCACTGCGACTTCTCGACCATCGATAAGCTTACCTGAGAATTAATTTCTAGAAGGATTAATTTTGTTTATTTGATTATTAAAGATAAAAGATTTTTTTTTTGTTATAATTTGACTACAAATTTTGCAAAAAGTCCGGTTCAAATTTACTTTTAAATGGTTCGAAATATCTAAAATGAATTTAAGAAAATTAATATATTATTATTCTTATATAATATATGAAATAGTTTTAGACCGAATATGTGTTTTATGTATTAGATAGCTTATAAGTTATAAATTAATTTACATTTTTTATTTTTTGGATAGTCATATATAACAAAGGAAATAGTAGTTTATAAGATATTTTTTTTAAAAGCTTATATTAAAGCTTCAACTAGATTATTGAGTTTTTAAAATCAGTTCAAATATCATTTATTAATTTAAAAAAAGGCATATTCTTCATGTTTTTTAACGTGTTTTATATAGTTTAACTAATTTACTAGCTAGTTTAGTAAAATTTATTTTTTTATAAATAAACAATTAGTTTTTCAAGTATTAGTTGTTAGCTGATATTTCAGCAATCTTACTTTTAAGCTATTATGCTAATACAAATTTTAAATTTGAAGACTTTTTGTGGCCAAAAAATTATTATGATTTATAGTGAATTTATTGCAAAATAAGTTACTATGTTAATAATATCCTCCAGCGAAGACGGTTTTTTTTTTTCAAATTAATTATCTAAGTAAAAAATAAATAATACTATAACTGTAAAGATATTTTAAAATTTGATATACTAGAAAAGTTAAAATTTCAGTATTAAAAAACCCTAAAAATCATAAAAATATATAAAAAAAATACTTAATCATCACAAAACTTTTTAAAATTTTTTTATAAAAAATCGCAGCTTTTTAATAAAATTCATTGAAAAAAATAAAAAATCTATTTTTTTAATTAAAAAAATCACATTTTTTTTCAACGAATTTGTATAAAAAGTTGCGATTTTTTCTAAAAAAAATTAAAAAAAAAAGTTTTATTATCTCTAATTCTTTTTTTATGCATTTTTATGATTCTTAGAGTTTTTTTTAGAGTTGTTGTGTTTTCCAAATAACATTTCCATATATATATATATATATATATATATATATATATATATATATATATATATATATATATATATATATATATATATTAAAAAAAGTAATTTAAAAGAAACTCCTATTTCATAACTTTTTAGTCGTTATTCTATAAGTATTATAAAAGTGAAATCAAATATATTTGTTTTGTTCACAAAACAACATTAAAACAAAATTTTTAATTGTTTACTTTCTTAAAAGAAATGGTCTTTTATAAAGAAAAAAAAAATAGTTCAATAAAAAACACTAAAAAGGAAAAATTATTAATTCTAAATTCAATAATTTTATGGTTAGGATTTAAAGCATTACCATAATACACAGCTCCAAAACCACCATCTCCAAGTTCTCTTGAATTATTGAAGTTATCAGTAGCCACTTCTAATTCCTCATAACTAAAAACCTGAGCTCCAAAATAAGAACTTTTTCCAAAATCATTTGATGTTTTTGATGAAGGATATGAAGGGATACTTGAAGTAAAATTAGAACTTCCACTATTGACTTGATTATTATTGACTTGATAATTTGATACAGTGGTTAGAATAGCTTTTGTCTCAGTATGTGAAGGCGATAATTCTCTGATCGCAATCCGTTTCCTCCGTTGTCTGCAAACAAAGATTCCGATTCCGATTCCGATGGCTGCGAGAATTGCTCCAACGACTGCGACAACTGGAATTGGAATTCAAGAGTTAGAATTTTAGTTTGTTGAAAGTTGAAACTTGAAAGTATTTGTTTAAGATGAAATTTTGAGTGTTTTTAGAGATAGAATGGAATTAATCAATTAATGCGTACTTGTAGATACAGATTTTTTGCTTGAACTCCCTGAAAATTAACAAGAAATTGTTAGTTAGCTTAGAAATCACAAAATCAAATGTAAACAATTCCTTATTTATTTATTTAAAATTCAAAATTTTATACTGTTTAAACTAGATCTTCAAAAAATGGCTATGAATAAATATATATAGCATGTGATTTTTAATACATTTATAAAGACATAAATACACGCATGCAATAATTTTAAATTATAAAAATGTGGTCAACAAAGTACTTCGTTGAATTATTCCAAAAACTACCTGTTACTATTACAGGAATTAATTAACAGCCACCTTCTTTTATATTATATTTTATTATCTGTTTAATAATTTACCACCAACTATTATTTCGTATATATCGTAACATACGAGGAATCATAGTTTTATACCTTTATATATAAATATAAATTAAAATCTCTATATACTTTACTGTTTAAATTATTAATCTTATTATTCTAACTAATTAGATTTATAGATTCGAGTGAATCAGTTAAAACCGGTTCGAGTTGACTCAGCTATGGTGTCGTCTCAACTCAGAAACAAACTAGGGTTTCAAGTAGACTCAATCACGAATATGAATCTACGAGATCGGAAAACCACATACCTCCACCTTCGTTCGTATCATTACATGTTAACGAGAAATTTCCATTAGCACAGTAGCAAGCAAACACATCAGGTGACGTTGAGTTTGATCCACATTGACCGTTTGACCGAATACACCGATCACACTCATTGATGTTCGCCGTCCACTGTAGCTGGAAACCGGCCGTCAAACCTGACCTCAGATCATCTGTTGTAGCAATCCCTGTCGCTAATCGAGTTGCTGAAGATTGATTCACCGGTACATCGATGCGATTTTGACACTGATCCAAGGAACTGGCCACGCTAGGGATTAGCTGATCAGTTCTTATGAAATAACTGTCGCTTTGGCTCTCATTCACATTACAAGTAAATCTGTAATTAGTGCCCAAAAGTATCACCCCAATACTACTATTGCAATTGTAGTACAAGGACACATTCCGCTGGTCAAAATTGTCGCCGTTGAACAGCGTCGAGTTGTAGGAGGTGTTGTATAGAAATCGAGGGCAAATGTTTTCCCGGAGATCGTTTCTAGCGATGGTGATCGTCTGTGTACTGGTATCAGAACGCAAAACTCGGTAGTTTAATGATTCGAAATTGAGTAGGGGAACATTCGATGGGCAGGTTAGCTGAAAACCAGGGTGGCCGCAGTATGCCGGACGATTTAACCCCCAAAATGGGTACTCTACTGTAATTGCTCCACACTGGACCCGTGCGCCACAAACATCAAATGGTCGTTGGGTTTCTTGGCATGAGATAGCCGGAAAACAGAGAACGATGGATAGAATCACCGGGAAGAAGGCGGGGCTTGGATCTAGACGGCGTTTCATGGTGGTCGGAGTAGAACGAGAGGAAGCAATGGGTAATGAATGAAGAAGGTTGATTTATTGAAAGAGGAAGTAGTATTTGACTGGTTTATCGTCAATATTCATCAATAAGAGATAAAAACAGGTTTATTTAAATGTTAAAAACTTGAACGAAACAGAAGCTTCTATAGAGTGCTAAATATCAAACATGACGTCAATCAACACTATGAATTCAAAATTAAAAGAAAATGAGCCAAAGATACTCTCTTGAATAATTCAAAGGCCGACTTAACAAATTACTTGTATGAATTAATGAAAGAGTAACAATTATTTATATTTGGAAGGTGTTCATTTAAAAAAAACATAAATTTTCAATTTGAGTAGTACATTTATAAAAACCATACAATTTCAATTTGAGTACTCCAAGTTAAACTATTTCAGTACATACATAAATGTTAATCATGGAATATTACCAACTACGTGAATATCTATTACATAAATGTGAATATCTATGCGTTGCGTAGAATAAAATTAAATTTTTTAGTAATTTTATGTTAATAAAAATATTTATATCATTTATATTAATTATAAAATAATAATTGTTACATTTAGTTTATATCAAATTATAATTAATTTGAACAATAAATAAAATTACGATTATTGAAATCAAATCGTTTAATGATCTCTACTTATGTTTTATATGTGTATAACATTAGTTATATTTGTTCATTATTTTAATTTTCTACTTTTATGAATTATTATGTTTTAAAAAAAAAAAAAATTGACGGTGTTTTAATTTTATTATGATGATTATTTAAATTACCAACAAAATGTTTATAATCTAACATAATTTAATTTCTAAATTTGTATTATTTTTAACTATTATTATTATAAATTAATTTAAAGACAATTGAATTTTAGTTATTATAAAATATAGTTTTCAGACACCTGTTAGTTAATTTGATTAATCAATTTAGATTCTTTTATATTTATTATATTTAATATTTTCCTTTTAAGTGAATTTGTTATAATATATTAACCCTTGAATTTGGTTAAAACTATATTAAAAACTAAGCCGAAATTAATGTACTTTTCTTAATTTCACATATATCTCCACACAAATTAATCAAATATAGGCCGGATGAAATCTAAAATACTAAGGGGGTGTTTGGCTTAGCTTTTCAAATCCTTTTTGGAAAAGTTACAAAAAGTTAGGGTTTTCTGACTTTTCCAAAAAGTTGTTTTTCTTTATGTAAAAATTTCAAAAGTGACTTTTAAAACCAGTTTGCCAAACATCTTTTGTTTTTTTTTTTCTTTTTCAAAAAGAACTTTTGGCTTTAAAAAGCTAAGTCAAACACCCCCTAAATTCCAAAATCTAAGTGGGACATTTTAGCGGAGTCTGAGTCGACTCAGATAGGTTGTCATATTCGAGCAAACTCGAGTTTCCAATTGTCAAACAACAATTTATGAAAGACTTTAACGAGATAGAACCTTCACATGAATTTTGTGTATCGAATGACTTCGTCTATTTACTTGACCAAATGAATTCCACGCCACTTTTGACTATTTGAACCATCAATGTGAAAAACAAGTAATAGTAGATATGCCTTTTTTTCTTCTCAATTCACTCGGTTATAGTATCTATATAATTATATCATATTCTAACATATTCATTTCGTATTGTTAGTAATTAAATAGTAAATACTCAAATGACCGTAGATATGGAACAGAAAAATACCTTGATGCTTGTGACATTCATCTATAGAAGGACCATCACGACAGTAGCAAATGAAACGACTACTAGGGTCGATCCCACACGAGCCTTCTGACTTTATGCAATTTTTGCATTCTTCACCCTCTACATACCACTGCAAAGCAAACCCCTTGTCTAGGGCAGTGACAAGATCGGTCCGGTTTTGGTCAAGATCTCTTGCATTATTTTCAAAAACCGGAACAATTACACTTTCGTTACATGGAATACTTGAGGGATATACCACATTGGTATTTGTTTTGTTTATTGTACAAGAATGCTCAAAAGTGGGCGCCTGGGATGAGGGCAGATGACACCCGTAACCTAGAGTTAGGTTTCGGGTGCCAGCAGTGTAATTGAATGAAATGAAATCGATAGTGGTGTTAACGAGTCTTGAAGGACATATTTCTCCCCAATAATCTAGTCGTGTGAGCATGATGGTTTTATCTTGATAGCTAACATCGAGGACTCGATAGTTTAGAGACTTAATTTCTATAACTGGAATACTGTTGTTGACACAGTCTAGCTTGTAGCCTAGTTTTCCGCAGTAATTTGGACGGTCCTTTCCCCAAAACGGGTACTTCATAGGTTTAAGGGTTCCACACATAAATGCCTTGCCACAACTTTTGTATCGCTCATCATTAGTGCATAAAGAAGTTGGGGCATTTATGAGAATCAATAGACTGAAAGTAACGAAGTATGAAGAAGGGAATGCATCCATATTGGCACGATGAATTTAAGGATTACATATACTTAAAATATCATCTTTTATTATGCTAAAGCTTTTAGGAAAGTTTACGACAAAAATGAAGCACCTCTTGACCCTACAAAATGTTTGTGTTTATACTAAAACTTGTTTGGACATAATTTTTGCCATATACCATCTTAAAACAAAGTTACGAAGTATACTAAGACACATGAAACATTCCAAAACTAGGAATATATATAATGATTAGACAAAGACTAGGATTTAAATAGGAATTAGTGTACGACGCAAAAAGTTAAATATGACAACGATAAATTATAAAAAAAATCTCCATAAACTATATAACAAATGGAAAATGTCATTGCTTAGCTAATAAAAAAACTGTTAATATTATCCAATTCCATTTAGAATTCCATGTTCTGGTTTGTTAGCTATGGCATTTCTAAGACTCATGTGTATCACATAACAGAAAGGTAACGTTGTCATTCTATAAAGAAAAATAAAAAATATATTAAGGAATAGTAATAATACTTTTATAATCATATATAGATATGTATATTTTAATTATTTTTGCATCCGAATAATCACCTACTTATATTTTCTTCCCTATCTATAAAAGAATGATTAACATGGATTATAGATCTTAAAAATTTGTAAAATGATTATATTATTACATAAGATAACAACTATAGGAAAATCGGTCTTTACTCTTCAGCGACATATGTTGTCTCTCGAGAGACGAAAAACTTTCGTTAAAGATGTCTTATTACTTTTTCATCTGTTACCTCATATATATATATATATATATATATATATATATATATATATATATATATATATATATGTGTGTGTGTGTGTGTGTGTGTGTGTGTGTGTGTGTGTGTGTGTGTGTGTGTGTGTGTGTGTGTGTGTGTGTGTCTGTCATGTATCTAATATTAGGTATAAAACCATCTAAATTGACTTTATTTTGATTAAAAACCATAATTTTCTTTAATTGTTAGCTTCTTTCCAGTGCTTTTGAGCTCATATTATTTTTTATTTTATAATTAATACCCAACATATATGTATTTCGAATGTGATTTTTTATCAGACCTTTAATAGAAGTTTCATAACTTCTTTTGACACCTACCTTGCTTTGTTTTTCTTGATGGATTATGGGAATAGGTTTATCATGTTTTTAATTAATAATTTCAATCTTTCACTATAGTTTTCTGTAATAAATTTCAATATATCGAACTACATTTAGTTGGTAAAATATTATTATATACAGTTTGTAGTGCAAAATTAAACTTATAAATCTAACGTTTTCATAGGAGAGTCATGTGTTACACCATATGTGGACATAGGGTTGTAAAGAAATCAAATGAATATCAACATGGGCTTATTCATGTTCATTTGTTTAAGTTAACAGACTCTTTATTACGGGTTAGAACCCTAATTATTAATTAGTGTTATTTTTAGAATATGATTAGTGTGAGGAGCTGTGTTAGCAGTAGCCAAGTGTGCGGTTCAGTTATCCTCTTTTGGAGGTGAGTCTTCTTATCACACTAGTAGGTCGAAGCACCAATGTCAGCCCACTGATTTATATGTGTTGGATGTATGTAATTATGTGGCTATTTTGATATGATTGAATGATATATAGAGCCAATGTGGGCTCGGAGTCATTATGGACTCAGGTGTTGATACGAACCCGACACAACTACCTGTTGTCATATGGGTTGATACGGACTCGAGGATTGATGTGGACTTGACGCAACTGCATACTATCATATGAGGTTGAGACGGACCTGACACAACCACGTGTTGATATATATATATATATATATATATATATATATATATATGTATATATATATGTATATATATATATATATATATATATATGCGTGTGTGTGTGTCTATTATATGTGGTATTTTAGGAATAACACTAAGCTTTGTGCTTACAATTATGTTTATTGTTCCTGTTACTTCCAGTACAAAAGGGAAGGGCCCGGTATGATCGTAGTGTATTCTTCCATGTTCCGTATTTTCTTTGTGATTTGGATTTGTTCTCTGATGATTACTCTCATTTTACATACTTTGTTTGGGATTTTTATGAATACTTGATGGTTTTGGATTTGTACTCTGATGATTACTCTCTCTCTCTCTCTCTCTCTCTCTCTCTCTTCGTTGTCCTAATTGTCATTGCCTCTTTTCTCTAACGATCATCATCCTTCTCCCTCGATCCTTGTTGTCGATCAACATGATGACACCAAATTATACCGCTAAAATTGGCAATGATACATCTTTCCCCCGAAGTTGTTGATGAACCCACTTGTAAATGCATTAACATAATCATCAACAAGTGGATTTATAGCACACATTCACTAATCTCATCCAAACATTTGTGAAACCAGGGCCTCTAAAAGGATATGGATCATCTTAAAAAATATTCCAAGATAACAAAGCCACATGTGTATATACTTGGAGGAATAACTTAATAAGATTAGGATTGACTCTTTCTCCAATGCATCAAATTATTGTTCCCGAATCAAAACCTTGGCGAGCCAACTTGTCAAAATTAGAAAGTGTATCTCAAAAAACGAAACAAAATGCAACTATATATACTTGGAGGAATAACTTAACAAGACTAGGATTGACTCTTTCTCCAATGCGTCAAATTATTGTGCTCAAATCAAAACCTTGGCGAGCCAACTTGCCAAAATTAGAAAGTGTATCTCAAAAAAAGAAACAAAATGATCATGTAATTGATATCCAACTTGACTAATAAGTACGACATGATTACAACCTTCATCCACCAATCTAATCCCCTATTAAGTTTTAACAAGACCTACTCACAATTACTTCTCAAATAAAGAAGGTGAAATGCAAAAGAGTCCCACACAAACCACTCCCTTACCATTTAGGCTACAGGGAGTCGATTACTAGGAGTACGGTGGTAGGGCTCGCCACCCTCACTACACACCGCCCCCTAGCGCACGCTAGGGAGATCGCCACCGATTAGTCGCCACGCGTTCTCATGCTCAAATGTGCATGCACACACAACAAACTATCAATTTAGGATGTGTTTGACACACCACAACTAACTTATGTTTCGAGTTTTTTGAAGTTGTTATGTTTAGCAAGCCAAAAAGTAGTTCATAAGCTAGCTTTTTAGAAAACAATTTAAACTAGCTTTTTAGGAGTTCTTTTTTAAAAAAAAAAAAAAAAAAAAAAAAAAAAATTCAAATGTACCCCTTAATTAATTATAGAAACAGATTCTTTTAAATATCTTTTTATGTCAATTTATATTTTTCAACTAGTTTTACCAAACATTGTTTTTTATCAGTTAACTTTCAACTGTCAGCTAGCTTTTCAGCTAATAGTTAATTTTTCAACTAGTACACAAAACCTAACCTTAAAGTCCGATGAATGTTGGGCAACTGACTCCTATATCGAGTATACCACAAAGTGTGATAGTTTTATATCAACTATAAGCTAACTTAAAATTCAATTGTTTTGAACTATAAGCTAACTTAAAATTCAAAAACTTGCAATTTGAAAATCCAACAAAAAAAATCTAAAAAGGTTGTTCCACTGTGGTAGAAATTACAAATAAGTGAATGACTACTACTATGGTACATACAAATCTTGTCGATAATATAAGATTGTTATTATTTCATTTATCTGTATGAATGTTCTTCTCGGCTACGATGAAGGAATCCAACTGCCACTATAATACACCCTCCACGATATATTTTAACCATTTTTTGATATCAACCAGTCCTTTTCCCTATCGCTCTTATTATCATTATATAATAGTTTAAGGATTCCGATATTCTTTTACCATAAGTTGCCAAGAAAACAAGGTACCACATACAAAATGACATATAAAACATAGCATGCAAATCAAAAGAATCATTAAGGGTTACAAAGGTATAGAGTTGCATACCTGATGATGTTGATGTTGATACAAATGGTGATGCGTTGACATCGGTTTTGTTAACTGTTGAGCAACTATCAGCCAAAAATGGTGATTCAGGGCAAGCACACATGGTTAGAACGGTATTATCATCGTAAATGCACTGGCCACCCGACTGGATACATTCTCTGCAACCACTCCCTTCCACCTTCCAAATCACATCAAACCCTTTTTGAAAAACCCGACCCAATACATCTGACTTCAAGAACTCAACTGGAAATGGGATTACAACACTAGTTTCGCAATTCCCGGGACCTTGTATCCCGGGAACTAGAAACACTGGATTAAGTTCATCGTTAGCACAGAAAATAGAGCCGATCCCCATGAAGTTAAAAGAAAGTGGGCATCCAAAAAGGATGCTAATGTTCATATAGCTTTTTGTGTAATCGAAAAGCTTGGGATCAATGGTGGTGTTCACTAGCTCTTGTGGACACATTGAGTTGATCATATCCTCTCGAACAATCTTCAAAATCTGGGCCGTTGGATCGATTCCCAGAACCTTGTATGTAATGTTCATGATCTTGATGATCGCCGGATTCTGATGGTCACAGTTTAGCTCGAAACCGGGGTATCCACAGTATGTAGGATCTTGGTGGCGCCGGAAAGGGTATTGGAAGCCTGAGATAGTTCCGCAACTGAATGAAGTGTTGCAAGTGCCATAGAATCCGGCTGAGTTGCTCGAACATTCTTGGATTATGATTAAAATGAGTAGCTTTAGAATATGATATCGGGGATTCATGGAGAATTTGGAGAAGGTGAAGTAGTAAAGCTTTGAAATGAATGTTGAATAGGGTTGAAGAGTAGGGAAGTGGGTGGGTTTTTGAGTGAGATTGCTTTAATTAGGAATCACTCAAGCATCAACTACCACGTTTGAAAAGTTGATTGATGGATATTTAATTGGGGTTATGGTGTTTAATTATTGGTTTAAGATAGTACAATGTTGACTTGTTAGTAACTTAGTGATAAAGCTGTTTTTATGTACATGGTTTCCATGTAGACTTTGGGTCTAAATCTATGCGGACGTAACTTGATTTTTTTTTTTTTTTTTTTTCTAAATTTGAATGAGTTTTAAATATGTTTGAACTTCAACCTTCGATGTTGTAAAGTCTGAAACTAGGTTGTTTTATAGAATAAGATTAATCTGATTACTCGAGCTATAGAAAAAGTTCGAAATGTCATTGAGTTGTAGTGTAGTATTAGTGGGGAATAAATTATAATTCTGATTTCTCAATAAGTTTTTATTATATTAAAAACATGTTATGAACAAAACAATTGAATTTGCTACCACACATGATAAGAAGACATAGTGTGTAAGCATTGAACTTGTGCATTAACCTATTATACAAAATTATGTACCTATAAATATATTCATTAATAAGAATATTTATATTAGAATGCCAATAAAACTGATTTAAATCCATATTCTAGTCAATTTGATTGGGAAAGGGAGTTGATTCGTACAAAACAATTTTTCTACATACATAACATTCGGTGTTTTAAAATGTTGTATTGTACAACTTTATAATGAATGGATTGTTGTGTATGACAAAAAACTGTTGTGTACGAATCACTTCCCATTAGGAAATCATTTAAGTTAAATGAGTGTAAGTGCGGACAAGGAACCCGAGCTGAAAACCAGGGACCAGGATGCAAACATAACATCTTCGTGTGTTGTTGGAACTATAAGGATGATATGTATGCTATTTTTAGAGGCTGAAATTAATGAACAAAATGGGTTATGTCGAAGTTAAAACAGGGGAGAGGAGTTGTAGGATATTATCTTACTTCAAAGTTGAAGTCAAATTACATTAGTAGAAGATAATGGTAAATATGGATGTATTGGATGGATATGGGTTGCTATATTTAGAATAAGTTTTTTATTCACCAAAGCCTAATTAGATTATACACATTAACATTTTACAATATATTGGTACTGTTCTTAACATCAAATCACGCTACAGTATCTCCTCTCCCTCTCCGTCAAAATGTAATGAAATCGATAAAGGGGTAAAACTGATTCATTGATTTGTAAAAAAAGCACCAAGAGTATTTATACAAGTTTCCAAGGAACATAGATAAAATAGAAAACTAGATAAGGATTCAAATAAATAAGATAACGGTAAATATGGATGTAATCGGATGGATATAGGAAAGATCCGATTTCCTTTACAAAATGGAATTCGAAGGCACACTTTGTAATTTTCTTCCTTTCCTACTCTAAAATTTTTAAGTCTAATACCTAGTGTTAAGATTATAAAAAACCTTATATGTTCTTATATATAGTAAAGGAGGATAGTTTTTAAGAATAGTGAACATCCTTATTTTTTGGTAAAAATAACACATAAGTTTTCATATTTGTAGTTGTTCAGATTTTTTGCACTAAAGTTTGATATATTGGCAATTTGGTCCCTTAAATTATTAACAGTCATATTGTAACGACCCAAAATTTAAGACCAAAAATTTCTTTAATAAATCATTACTTAAAGTAAAGTCATCATTCCAAAACATAATATGAATATAAGTTTTCAAAACACATGTTCGTTATCAGAGTAAACATTCCCAGGCTGTCTAATCTATGGTGTGTGCCATGCGATCACCCCGAGCTCTTTCCTCCGCTACCGGAAGTACCTGAAACCAAAATTGAAAACCGTAAGCACGAAGCTTAGTGAGTTCCCCACCCTACCACATACCATGCATAACCACATACTGCACATACTGGGCCACGCCCCCTATCTTGGGCCTCGCTCCTACCTCGGGCCTCGCCCGCTACAACGGCCCCGCCGCTCCAGGCCCCGCCTGGCTTTGAGCCCCGCTCGGATACATATCTGTTTTACTTAGGCCTCGCCTGTCATAGGGCCTCGCCCGTCAACAATTAATAACACATACACATTTCATAACACATAACTAACACATGCAACTGGTTCTGTCCTAAGGTCTCGCCTTTCCTGGGCCTCGCCCATGTCCTGCTACTGAGGAGTCATGGAACCCCATCCATGCTCCTAATGGTAGTGAGGTACGGGCCTAGCCCACTCTCACTCCTGTTCTAATTCGGGCCTCGCCCCTAATCTTCTACTAGTGAGATATGGAACCCCATCCACACTCTGCTATTGGTGAGATACGGGACCTCGCCCACACTCACCTCCCTACCAGGTACATACATGTATCACACAGACAACAAGTATAAACTATCATATATAAACAATTCCTTGGGCACCCGCCCGCTATTACTGGACCTCGTCCTGCAAACAATACTAGCATACTGTGCCTAGGGCTAACCCCCGGGTCTTCTACTCATAACTACACGGGCCGGCATTGTGGCCTTAGACCCATTCACACAAAGGGAAACTCACCTGAACTGGCAGAACTGGCTGATGATCTCACTAGCTGCTTCCCGACAACTCACGGAACTCCTGCTCCCCTTGCTCCCCGAACTACCAATATCAATGCAACACTGAGTCTAACCGACCCCCGAAAGACAACCAAGTCCACCCTGGTCCAAAGTCAAGGTCTTGGTCAAAGTCAACCTTCCAGGTCAACCCTACTCGCCGCCGAGTCACCCTACTGACTCGCCGAGTTCGAAATAGTCAGATTCCTTCCATTCGCAACTCGACTCGCCGATTCAGTCCATGACTCGCCGAGTCTACCGATTTCTGAGTCCAGACCTGTCCAACTCATTGAGTCTCCACCCGACTCACTGATTCGAGTCACAACTTGAAGGATTTGGGGTTTCGTGACCTGACTCGCCGAGTCCAAGAACAGACTCGCCGAGTCCAAGGCAATCTTCATACGACTCGACGAGTTGTTCATCTCACTCGTCGAGTTTCTCCACAACTTCATGCTACTCGCCGAGTCCCTTCAGATCTCCTTACATGCAGAGGATTTTAGAGTCATGCATGGACTCCAAACTGTAGATCTACCCTTCCCAAGCCTATTCCACACGTAAAGTTGCAAACTTTACGTGTAGAGAAGGAGATCTAGGCAAAATATGCCATAAACTAGGGTGTAAGGCCAAGGGGCTTCAAAATCGACTTAATGGCTGATACTTTATGCTTCTCCAGGCCCTAAAACACTTGAATCTAAGTAGCAACTCCAGATCCGGCTTCTAACCCAAAATAATAACATTATGGCAAAAGAGCCCCAATAACCACACATAGATCTAGGTGCAAAAAGGGTCCAGGAACTATTTTATTACCTCCAAGTGCTCAGAATGAACTCACAATCCCATATCTATAGCTCCTTCTTGCTCCTCCAAGTTCCTTCTTCCTTTTCCAAGCTTTAATGCACCTTCCAAGGCTTAACTAGGAGATGTGACGGCTAGGGTTTGATATCCAGGGCTAAAGAGGCAGTAAGGAACCCTAGGAAGAAGATTAAGACATTTATATAGGCCCCAAGTCCCGAATTTAGGGTTTTCCACGCACAGACCAGACTCGCCGAGTCATCTTAACCGACTCGCCGAGTCGGTCGCTTACACCTCGACCCGGATCCCGCTCGGACTCGCCGAGTCCCTCCTTGGACTCGCCGAGTCAGCCCTTAAATTAGGGCTTTTCTTTCCCTTCTTGGCCTTTGAAACTTTGGGTGTTACACATATAAAGATAAGAAGATAGGGACGAAGCTGATACGTGTCATCTCCCCCACCGGTTCTGTCTTATCTTCAAACCCCCCATCCCCCACCCGGTTTCTCATCCACTCATTTTCTAGGTTATCTAATCTGATTTCCACTCTTCTATTCTTTGGCACCACCCATTTCTTTTGTTTTGATCGGCCAAGAGGGAAGACGAACACAACACAGAAGTTAGGGAAAAGAGAAATCGGGGGTAAACCATGGTTTAACCGGTTCATCGATCTTTTGCATCACCGATTGAGAACCGTTAACACCATCGTCTGAGTTGCTCGGGTTACTTTACTTATGAATTTGGTTAACTTCTTAAACCGCACATCACTTGATGCGGCTTCTGGTCATAAATTAGATGAGTGTTTATATTGTTTGTTCTACAACCATTGATTCTTGATTTTAATGATTTTTGTTTGGTCGTCGGGTTATTATCAAAGCTCAATCGGATCAGAAGATGCGAAATGTTGAGGAAAAGTGAGAATCGGAAGAAATTGTAGCAAGTTGGTAAGTATCTAGATCTTTTATGCCCTGTTTCTTCTACCCACAAAATCGTTACCTCCATAGATATTTATATTGTTTGTTCTGCAACCACTGATTCTTGATTTTAATGGTTTTCGTTTGGTCGTCGGGTTATTATCGGAGTTCAATCGGATAAGGAGATGCCGAATGTTGAGGAAAAGTGAGAATCAGAAGAAATTGTAGCAAGTTGGTAACTATTTAGATGCTTTGACTTTGAAATGGAAGTTTTTTTGCCTTTGTTTGAAGGTTGATTCTCCATAGTTGTTACTCTGCCATCATTCCAAGCATTGAGATCATAGCTTACGAGGGGATATTTGGATGTTTATAAACTCAACCTTTTATTCATTCAGTAATCTTTCTTTCACCTTCTTCTTTATCGGACCGTTATTTTCGCCTTCCTCCTTTATATGAACGGTGACCCCTCGATCGTCTCCGATTGACCCCTCAATCGGCACTCGACCACCATCATAAGCCAGGTGACCCCTCAATCGTCTCCGGTTTACACGTGTTCTATTTTAGGGCTTTTGAAGAGGAACCCGGTAAGCGAATCCCCCCCCCCGCCGTATGCCGTCGACTCAATGTGAAGCCTTGGCCCGGTGACCTTCGTACCCCATGGTTACAGGTTCATATGTCTGCAACTTTTTTCTGCTTTCGTTTTCTTAGACGATGAAACAACTGCTCAAACTTAATAGAAAGGTTTGAAGTTCTTCAAAGAGCTCTGATCGTTATACCAAATCTACAAATCGGCTTTCTCTCGACTTCTTCTTCAACACTGTTATTTATAAACCCCTGGTAAACTGATTCGTTGTTTTGCTATCTTGAACCCAGGTGTCCTTCTTGAATCTACAGGTGCCCTTCAGCCTCACCATTTTCTTCACTGTTTCTTTGTAAAAAATCGTTGTCTTCATGGGATGCCAATTATTTGGGTCCGGATAAAACTGTTCGGATCACCGACATCACCTTCCAATTAGGTATCACTGTTCTTAACTACCTTTCTTTCTCCTCTTCATTTCCTAGCGTCATAGCATGAAGGTTCTGAATTTCCGATCGATTTGTAAACAGAGGGAAATGGAATCGAAAGATCATTTGAACAAGTTCAAAGTCGGCTCAGTTCCGACGTTGTACTACATACCCGACTTCATCTCCGATTCCGATCAAAAACTACTCCTAAATCAGGTATGTAATCTAATAACACATCTTTTGTTTGCTATCTTCTCTCCTTTTTGTTGTTCTTTGGGGTATTCGACAACAGTGTGATTTCTCACATCGAAATTGAGAACAGTGGTGTAGTTGGTTAACTCTTATTCTCAAATTGAAACGAGGTTTTATATTTTGATTTTATAGATTTACACAGCTCCGGTTTCAAAATGGAAGTCTCTGAAAAACAGGAGATTGCAAAATTAGGGTATGGCATTGTTGTTATCTACGAACTTGTCAATTTGGAGGTTAAAATATATGTTGGTATTGATGGGATTTTTCTTTTGTTTTCGTGTGATGTTTGTTACAGGAGGGATTGTCCATGAAAAAGGTCCTTTGCCTCAAGATTGTAAGCCCTAATCCTTCTCTCTTATCAATCATTTCGGGATTAAGATATACTATACCTTATTGTCATAAAACTTAAGTATTGAATTTTATATGTAACGATTTCATTTGATTTAATAAGATCAAGTTAACGAGTAATCATAGTTCATCTCTCTCTCTCTCTCTCTCTCTCTCTCTCTCTCTCTCTCTTCTCTGTGTAGTACCACCATTGTTGACAAAAATTATAGAAAAAATCAAGGAGGAGTTGTGTTTGTTTCCTTCTGTAATCAATCATGTCCTCATCAATGAGTATCTTCCAAATCAAGGCATAATGGTTTGTACTGCGACTAAATCGATAAAAATTAGTATTTTGCACTTACCCTTTTTTACTTTCCCATTTATTAACAATTTTTTTGGGTGAAAACATATCCCCACCAAGATGGGTCCGCATATTTTCCGGTGGTGGCTATTCTTTCATTAGGATCACCTGTTGTCATGGACTTCACTCCTCATTCAACTTTAGCAGACACTACAAGCAACATTCAAGAAACCAGTCATGGGAATTTACAAAACTACCTTCCTTTCTCTATTGCACTGATGCCACGCAGTTTATTGGTATTCAAAGATACAACATACTCAGATGAGCCTATTTTTAAATGCTTTTCTTAATAGCCTCTGTAATTTCTGTTGTATATTATGGAACCTGATGTGTTCATTTACTTTTCTTTCCAGGTCATGGGTGTACTTGGATACCAGTTATAGAGAATTTTACAATTCACCATGTCCATCGCTATCACCTCCATGAGACAGACTCAGTTTTATCATCTGTCTTATTGTGTTCTTTTCATTTAAATCTATCTGCTATAAAATTCATGATTTGTAGGATTTAAAGAATTTTAATGGGTTTCAAAAAAAGAATATCTCAATTACAAAAAATAGATGGTGGTTAAAGGTATGTATAGTCTCTTAACATAGGATTCATATAAATATGATGTCTTTTCCCTTATTCAAGTTTTGGGTTTGATGTATAGTTCAAATTCCTCATTTACTGTCTTTCACAAGGTGACTCAGATGGAGCTTACCAGGGTGTTATAAGGCTATTTTTGTCAAATGAAGATGAAATACATCTAACGATGCAAGGTAACACCAACTCCTTCGTCAAGCCCCAATACCTATCTATTTAAAAAAAAACTTCTATTTTTTTTCCATTTGCTACTTTTTTGTGTTATTAATTTTAGTTGTGTGATTTGTCTATGTGATGTTTGTTATAACAATTTTGCAGATTTTTTTTAAAAATGACGACCTTGATTGAACTATTATGTGGGTGTTTGGTAAAATGCTTGAATGGTATTTCAAATATGCACCAGCTTATTGACATACTTGTGAAAATTTGTCCATTTTTGTTGATTATAATAGGTAATGGAATTCCTTAGCCATGTCAACAGTAGACTGAAACAACAACAAATTAGTAGGTTTTCCTTTGGAAGTGTTAATGAGGTTGCTGCTTCAGCAGCAATCGAAATAACATGAGCCGTTTGCATCTGGTCAAGCTCTGGTATCACAATCTCTACCACCTTCAATACCAAATGTAGAAAAAGTTATATATTTAATAAATACAAAATAATTGAGGACGAATTTTCAATATTTTATCCTAAATTATAGCCGTAAATTTTACCAAGTCTTTAGTGCTTAAACTTTTTAAAATTCAATCTTATGTGATTGACCACAATGAAGCTTCTCAAAAGCATAATCACGAAATAAGGACTGAAAGTTGATGTTATTATTAAAAAAATATTGATAATTATAACATGTTTACTTTTTTACCCGTTCAACTATTTTCATCATTTGTTTCTTAACATTAAACATTACCTGATGTGTATTTGTTTTTTGTTTGTTGATAGATTTGATGACATAATGAAGTATAAACAAACATGGAATACAAGGTGCACATTGACATCAGAAGGAAAAGAGAGCATGAAGGAAGTAATGTAGCTTATGTCTCTTCAATATCACCCTGCAACTGGTGGAAACAGAAACAGAAGCAGAAGCAGAAGCCAGAATGTGGATGACTCGCCTACATTTTGGATAGCATGTCCTTACTGTTTCTACATGTATAAGTATCAAAGGTCTATGCAGAGTGCACTATTTAACCAGATGGGGAGGTTAAACCCTAATGTTGAATCCAATTATTGACCACCTGATTGATCAAATAAACAAATAACTGATCAAATAACATTTACAAAGAACAAACAACGAAAAAACTGTAGCATCCGACAATGGAAAAAACTTTAGCATCCGACAACGGAAAAAACTGTAGCATCCGACCCCCGCAACGCGGGGTTCCCCATCTAGTTACATTACTAGGTGTAACACCCATTTATTATATGGGTTTATTTTAAATAAAAAATATAAATATTAAATATTTGAGAAGTTTGAATTTATAAGAAAAATAGAAAAATATTGAATTATTAAAAATTAATTGTTGTTTTTCTTATAAATTAAACAAATGAAACTTTAATTTAGAAATTTGAAATTAGAAGGAAGTCAATTAATGAAATTGATATGCATTTACTATTATATTTATTGTAATTATTACATTTAAATATTACGTGGAATTAATATAAAAAATCACAAAATGATATGTGGAAAAAATTAATTGAAAATAACAACAAATGACATGTGGCCAAATCAATAAGAGTCTGACATGTGACAAAAAGTTTTTTATTTATTAGGGAGGATTTGGGTAATTGCAAAAAGTCACTATGTTACACAAAATTTCGATTTTCATATCGAGTTATTTTATTTTATTTTTTATTTTTGTAATTATGTCATTATATTTATAATTTGTTGCAATATCAACCAAATGTCTGGTTTTCCTATTTTCCCGGGAACCACTTTTCCCAATTGCAAATAAAGTTACTAAGTTTACCAAATCACGATTTTGACACGAGTTTCAAACTGCAAGAAGTCATTATATTACCATAAAATTTTATTTTAACATCGAATATTTTTTCATTTATATCATTACATTTACAATTTTGTTGCATGTCACCAACTAACCGATCCATGAGATGTTATTTTGGTTTAGAAGCTCGCTTTGTACAACAAATAAATCAAAGTCATGTAATGGTTAAAACTCACTTACATGTCAGCGAAA